CATTTTGGCTTTTGACATTTTGGTTTTCTGACTTTTTGGGACCTTTGCGCGACTGCGTCGTTTTTGAATTAGCCATCAGTGATACTGTACTGGTATCGGCTGGAAATATCTTTTCCCGCCGGTGGTACCAGGCCTGGTTCCGACGTTAGCGCCTTGGACGTTTGCTGTTTTTTCGTAAGATGAGGAAGTAGATCGTACGTTAAATACAGTAACAGTGAGTTGTAGGACCTCTTTCAAACGTCGAAGCGACGTTCGTGTGTAGGGCGTTTCCACGCTYCTCGCGCATTCAGTGAGGTTGCCACGGTGTTYGTTGTTTATTCCTTTTCGGCAATTTCAAAGCTTCGCGGTTTAATGAGTTCTTATTCTCATTGTGTGCATTCTTGTGAATGTCTTCTGTTGCATGCTGTCTATGACTGTTGCACCATATTCACCTGCCTGTGATCGAGCGTTATAACCTGTCAAGGGACGTTACTCGGAGTTGGTGTTAGCGAGTAGTCGTATGCTATGAGTGTTATTGAAGAAGCGAGTGATCAGAGTAGAAGGAGTATCAAGATCTGAAGAACGATCGAGTTGAAGAAAGAAGTTGAGGTACAGAGCACGAGCGAAGATCCACTATTGGAAGCTGCTACCACGAATCGAGTGCCTTTATTTTTAGTTGACGCCAAGAGAAGTTCTATACCCTTCAAGAGTATACAAGGGTCATTAGAAGGAATTCAACACAAATGGGGAGTCGAAGAAGTGAGTCATGGGGGAGATATGATAAAGGACGAGGGTATGATAGTGAAGGCTGGGAGAGTGGGGATGGTCAAAGTGAAAGGGGGAGAGATCGAGAGCGAAGGTACGATGGACGACGCGGTAACTCTGCGGAGGAGTATGGAAGAAGGGGCGATAACTTAAGACATGTGAAATATTACGAGTGGGGTGAAGTGGGGCATTACAAAAGTCAGTGTCCGAGGTTGCAAGTGCGTCAGGGAAGCAGTGGAGGAACAGTCACTCTTAGTAGGGATCTCGAAGACTCGTTGAACGCCATGGGAAGGATGGCGATGCAACTCTTGGAGCAGCAGAAACAAGCAGAGGACGCTAAGCGGGAGGCGGAAGCCCGTAAAGCGAGAGAAGAGGCTGCGAAGGCAGCTAAAGAAGAAGAGGCAAAGGCGGCGATGGCAAAAAAACTGGAAAAAGAGACGAAGGAAAAGAGACATCAATGGGAGATTCGGAAGTTGTTGGCCGAACAGGCAGCGGAGTATGAGGCGAAGTTGGAGAAGATGGTGGGGCTTACTAAGAAAATGAAAGGTGTACCAATTGGAAAAAAGAAAGCAAAGGTGGGAGCCACACCACCATCCAGTTCGGACGAATCTGACGAAGAAGTRGAGGATTCGGCCACTCCGCTGAAAGACAAAAGAAAGAGGAGAGATTCTACAGGCGCTGCGGAGAATAGTCCGCCAGTAGAAACTCCGAAGAAGCTCGGGAAGATGAAGGGTGCCGAGACGCCAGCAAGCCAAAAGAAGAAAGGGCGAGGGAGACCAACGAAGGCTAAGTCACAGGTGGCATGGCTCGCGAAAGGGGAAGACCCGTGGGAAGGAGTTCCCACGGGAGAGAAGTATGCTACCGAAGCGGCTTTCCGTAAGGCGGTGAGGAAGACTATCGGTGCGTTTTACCCAGAAACATTGAAGGAGATGTGCAGAGGAGCTGGGCTGCCATTTTATGGGGTCAACGACGCAATTGATACGCTGTCCGAACTACGTGTTACGTACTGCTACCGGCATAAGAAGTCCGCTAGGTCGACATCGACAAAGTCAACGGACGAAGAGCAGATAGGGGGCGCGTTGGCTGACCCCGAGGGCGAACCTGAGAAGTGAGTCCAAGAGTTGGGCTACTCTTTTGAAATTCTTGGAAGCTCGAAGATGGTGTAAGTTGAAACGGAGTGGTAAGAGTTAACTACCGTTAGTTGAGAGCATTCTTCGTAATTCTATACTGCTTCTGATTTTGGAAGGCAAAATCAGTTGGGGCAGGAAGTTTTTGGAATGTGTTTGGGAAGTCTTTGAGAAGAATCGGGGTAGATGGGATAACCCTTGCTCTTGCGTTTACCTCTTGGTAGATCCTTGGTGTAAGTTTTCCTATATAGGGAAAACCGAGAGACGTCTGAGCGAAAGATGGGYTGAGCATGTTGGAAGGGCACAGTGCACGAGTGGGACGAGGAGGAATAAGCTCTATCAATGGCTAAGGAAGTGGGGATGGGAGTCGTATGTTGCCCTACCGGTTGCCTTGGCTGATAGGTCGGAATTGGAAAAGCTTTAGAGAACTTGATTAGACGCTGGTGCCCCGCTTTGAATGTCAATGGTTGGAAAGATGGAAGGAATAGGAAGAAGAAGGGAAGAAGAGGAAGAAGGGAACGAAAAAAACGGAGGAAGGAGTATTTTGACGATGAGAGGATTCTACGCTTTCATTTGAAAGATGGGAAGAGCTCAGGGAAGCTGTCGGAACTGATTAAGCTAGTTAAAGAGAAGAAAGAGAGGGTGATTGTGTCGGAAGGAGGAAAAATTTGACACGAAGATTGGAGTGTCACTAAGCGGGTGTTTGGGCAGTCCGAGGTAGCCTGTGGAGACGAAACCAGGAAACTAAAAAGCACGAAGGAATGGTTTGAGAAAGGAGGAGAACTAAAGCTTTTGAGAATCAGGGAAAGACGACCAGGGAATCCTGTCTTGAGGAAGCAGCTGTATCAACTGCTAAAGTGTCCCTGGTCTAAGAAGAAGTTGGATTCGTTTAAACTTGACCTGCTTATTGAATTATTTCAAGAAGTCAGAAGCATTACAAGGAAAAGTTCGAGGAAGACCTTGAAAGGCATCATCGATGGAGTTACGAAGAAGAATTTTGGGGTTAGCTTGAGGCGAAAGGTAGTCATTGGCATTAAGTATGACGACCGGATTTCGAGATCGGAGGTTAGGAGGCTGTCCATGAAGAAGATTGAAGAACAGAGCTTGTCTGCTGCAGAAGCAAGGCTGCGTTGTCGGAAGCTCTGTCTAGTCTGGAGGAAGAATCAGACTGTCGGAGATCTTCTCCATAACCATAGGCGAGCAAGTCGCTGTCTGGTTAAGATCTGCTGTTGCGCAGATCTTCAGCTCCCGCGACAGGGAGAGCTCGTGGCCTTTCGAATGAGCAGTCGAGAGGATGTTGATCCAAGGATTAAGAACGCGAAGAATGTTGTTAGGGGAATTGATAGTGAACGAGACGAAGCTAAGTTACGGGACGAGCTGAATGATGAGATGCGGAAAGCAGGGCTAGAGMTGACTTGGACCCTACAACAAGCGAATAGTTGTGTCCGTAGAAGGCAAAGTAGAGAAGAAGAAGGGTTGTTGGACGTGATCGAGCAAGTTAAACAAAAGTGGAAGGGGTTGGTATTCTGTCCGATGGACAAAAATGCAGTTGAGACCTCAGTGGTTTTGTCCGGCGGTCTATCAGAAGGGCATGGAAGATACCTTTTGGGGAAATGCAGCATTCGACCCATTCTGGGAAAAGGAGGAAGTGGTTATGGCTAAGGCAAAAAATAACTATGAGGAGAGAGAGCTTAAAGAGATAGGGAAATGGGATTGCAAAGGGTCTTGGGGGAAGGCGTACGTCCTCCCTAAGCATAAGGATTCTGCTAAGTTTCGTCCAATCTCGCCTTCCTTTTCTGAACTGGCTAAGATAGCCAATCAAAGGGTCACAAAGGCACTGGATTTTTTGCTGTTTTCGTTGCCGAAGAACTGTCATTTCAACTTAAAGTCTACTAATCTGCTGAAAACAAGAATTGAGGAAGTTAATAAATGGTCGTCGGGCATGAAGAAGGGAGAACTAAGAGGGGTAGCTTATGACATTAAGGAAATGTTCAGTAAGCTACCTCATGACTCAGTTAGAACAACCATTGATTGGATCCTGTCTCTGTATGAGAAGAAAGGGAAGAAGTTCATGATGGTAAGAACTAGAGGAAAAGGGGCCTCGTTTGGAAAAATGAGAGGAATCAATAGGTGGGTGAAAGTCAGTTTTCAGTTGATAAGGGAGATGGTTGACTTTGACTTGGATCACTCCTTTTTGTGGGCATCCGATAGGTTGATCAGACAGAAGGAGGGTATCCCTATGGGCAAGTCCAGTAGCCCACCGATTGCCTGCATCCTCTGTGCTTTCTATGAATGTTCTTTTCCGAAGAGTTTAGGTAATGATGTTCGGCTGGTTAAGGAGATTCGTCTGGTGGATGACGTTTCTGTCTTCGTTTGGGATAGTTGGGAAAGAAAGAATCGAGGGAAGGCTGAGGAGATTATTAAGAAGTTTGAAAATTCCTACGATCCGAAGTTAAAATTAAAGAAAACAGATGAAGGTGAAAATGAGTGGAGCTTCCTGGGTTGCAGACTGAAAGTCGACGGTAGTCAGGTTTCTTGCTAGTACCGAGCGAAAAATTTTAACGAGATTTGGCATAACAGCGATAGCCGGGAATACAGATGTTTCCAGGATTTCACCTCGTACACGTGCGTAAAACAGAAACGGACACTCATCAATGGTATTTTTCACAAGATTAGGGAATGCTCGACTTCGGCAGATCGGGCCGAAGAAGGGCTGCTGTCTCTGAAAAGAGAGCTCCGTAARCAACTGTTCCAAGGGGACTTCTTTGCTGGAACCCTGTGGAAGTTTGTGCGTCAGAGTGCCACGGAATGGGCCGACGTGGCAAGGAGGGTTACTTTGGACTTAGAATAGTTCAGGTGTGGGTCTGTGTTGGCCGTTCGCTCGGCATCTTGGCTTTTGACATTTTGGCTTTTGACATTTTGGTTTTCTGACTTTTTGGGACCTTTGCGCGACTGCGTCGTTTTTGAATTAGCCATCAGTGATACTGTACTGGTACCGGTTGGAAATATTTTTTCCCGTCGGTGGTACAAGGCCTGGTTCCGATGTTAGCGCCTTGGACGTTTGCTGTTTTTTCGTAAGATGAGGAAGTAGATCGTACGTAAAATACAGTAACAGTGAGTTGTAGGACCTCTTTCAAACGTCGAAGCGACGTTCGTGTGTAGGGCGTATCCGCGCTCCTCGCGCGTTCAGTGAGGTTGCCACGGTGTTCGTTGTTGATTCCTTTTCGACAATTTCAAAGCTTCGCGGTTTAATGAGTTCTTATTCTCACTGTGTGCATTCTTGTGAATGTCTTCTGCTGCATGTTGTCTATGACTGCTGCACCATATTCACCTGCCTTGGAGTCATGTTCAAATTCGTAGCCAATCATGAGTTAAAAATAAAAAACCGAAAAAAAATAAAATATATATATGAATGAAATGATTAGAATAGAGATAAGATAGATATTCTTTCACAAATTGAGCAATGTATATATGCTTTTTTAGAATTAGTAATATATATATATATATATATATATATATATATATATATATATATATATATATTTTTACGGAAAAAAATTATGTTCGCCCGAACATGTTCGCAAGTTGTTCGCGCGAACGCGGGAACACGTTCGCCCGAACGTGAAGGGGCGAGAACACGTTCAGCGTGCTGCGCAGCTAAAAACTTATCTTTTTTCGAAAAAAAAAAATGGGGTTGTAGGGATTAAAAATCCCTACAAGGCTACAACCCCATATATATATATATATTTTTACCCATTATTCAATTCAAGAAAAATATGGTAAATTCGTGTCTGTGACGCGGACCAGGTCGGTCGCAGACGCGGCAGTATATACGGCCGCCATCCGAGCTGGACCCCGCGGACGCGTCCGCGGGTGTTTGATAGTCGTACGGGCGTACGAACGGTCTCCGTCCGAACGTGCCAGGGCCCGGTGTGGGGGGGAGGGGGGGGGTTGACTCCCAGGGATGGTAGGGGGGGTCCCGAGGTTCACGTTAGTATTTAAAAAAAAAAATTAAGAAACATTTTCGTTGTGGAAAAAGGAGAAAAAAAAAAAGCAAAATCGAATGAATATACCGCTAGAACATGGAAATATACATTGTCACACTTGTTTTTGTTTGTGTGTGTGTGTGTGTGTGTGTGTGTGTGTGTGTGTGTGTGTGTGTGTGTGTGTGTGTGTGTGTGTGTGTGTGTGTGTGTGTGTTCGGGGGTGGGAGGCGACCCCCCCATTGATAATCAATCAATCAATCAATAATAATAAAAACAACAAAAGAAGGAAAAAAAAAGGTGGCGATCGTGTGTGTGTGTGGGGGGGGGGGGGTTTGTGTACGTAACACAGCCATCCCACGTAATGTGGGAAACAGGACAGTACCCAAGAATATCCATTAGTACATGGCTTATTTCTAGCCATGGATGACGTACGTTATGCAGGCAGTCTAGGTTAGGGGTCATAGGAGCAGAACTTAGTATGTTAGTGTTAGTATGTTAGGGATTAGGAGAGGACAAAAAAGCCCAACCGTAGGGGGGGTGCACGCCCTTAAGCGCGCTTTTCGCCGCCTAGCACCCATAGCAGCTCATCAGAGGGGTTAGCTTAGTAATCAAATRYTCCTGTTAGGAAACGGATAGGGGAGGGAGAGAGGGGGGAAGAAGATGGTGGGCGTTTTTTAGGGTGATATGGAGTTAGGAAGTCATACCTGTGTCGTCATAGCTGGTGCCGCCTGATTGTTAGCAGTCGCCATGGTAGGAGTTGTGGCTCTCACAACGAGGTATCAACAATCTCACGGTGGACGTACAGCGTGCAGTGTGCTGCTCTGTGACCGGCAGAAGCCAGGTACCCACTTTGCTCTCAGCCGAACAGTAGTGTTACGGCAAGAGCAATTGGGGGGACTCTCGTTACGTGGGAAAGGAGACGTAGTGTAAGCGCCGTCGTTTGCAATTGGGTGGAGCGAATATCTATGCAATAGCATACGTAGCAGCGATGCATGTCGCATGCAACATCATGTAGGGGAGAGTGGATGTGCGGGGGATGTTTGTATAGTAGAGCGAACCATGGTAAGGGTGATATTTTCCCGAGGG